GGGGGGGGGACACTGTTCAGTGATTTGTAGACATACATGAGTATTTTGAACTGGATTCGAAAGTGAACCGGTAACCAGTGCAGTGAGGCCAAAACTGGTGTAATGTGCTCTCTTTTGCCTGTACTGGTTAAAATGGGGCTGCTGCATTCTGGACCAGTTGTAGTCGTGCAATGGAGGTCTGACTGATACCAAACAGGAGTGAATTGCAGTAATCAAGCCTAGATGTAATGAATGCATGTATTACTGTCTCCAGGTTCTTTTTGGACAATATGGGCTTCAGTTTAGACAGCTGCCTCAGTTGGAAGAAGCATGATTTAACAATCATGTTTACATGATTGTTAAGTTTCAGGGAAGGGTCCATTATCACGCCCAGATTAGTGACTCTTTGTTTTTCTGACAGGGTTAGAGTGGAGAGGTCGATGCAGTGGTTTGTGATCGTGTCATTGGAAGGGAACAACATGACTTCAGACTTCTTTTCATTGAAACTTCAGAAATTTAAAGACATCCAGTCCCTGATGTCAGCCAGGCAGTCAAGCAGAGGTTGAATAGAGCACGTACCATTGTGTCTTAGGGGGAAGTAAATTTGACAGTCGTCGGCGTAGAAGTGGAAGGGCATGTTGTGTTTCCAGAAAATAGCAATAGGATGGATGGATGGATGGTTATCCTGGTTAGAGATTCATGAGTCTAACAGCCTCAGGGTAGAAGAGTGGTAGAAAGAAGAGTATTGGTCCAAGCACTGAACCCTGAGGAACTCCATGACTAACTTTGGTGTATGATGAAGATTCATTATTTACATTTACAAAGCAAACAGAATCTTCTTGAACCCATTTCACTCCACGTTGAATACAAGGTTTCCTTACCCACCCACCAGTCCATTCACGGCAATGCTCCACACTGTCTTAAAGAACTGCTCAGACATCAACACGGTCCCTCCGCTCCACAATTTCTACCAGCTCCCCCCTTCCCATTCAAAACTGCACCATGGGTGACACCGTGGGTGACAGGGCCTTGAGCTCTGCTGCTCCTCGTTTGTGGAACAACCTCCCCAACCATCTAAGGATATCCCAGACTACAGAACGTTTTAAGAAAGGACTGGAGACCTTTTTATTTGAAAGATTTTTTAGTGTTTAAATGTATTTTTAATCCTGCTGTTTTTATTTATTTATTATTTTTATTCCATGTTTTATTCTCTCTAGCTGTTTTATATTGTAGCACTTTGAGATTGTAAAAAGTAAAGTGCAGCACAAATTGAACAAGTTATTATGATTATTATTATTTTTAATCTGATTCTTTTCTGTCCCTCAGGAGATCACATAAAGAACTGTAGACTAAAGACTGTGCCTCTGTGTCCACCACTGGATAACGACAACATTTAAAGACCAAAACAGTGAAGTAAGCATGGAAACTAATCCGAAACAGACGGTGACGGTCCAGATGGTGCCTCAGCTGGCTGTGGTGGACTTACTGGGAATGAAGGAGTCTAACGCTAACTGGGAAAAGGAGCCTCACCTCAAAGTCTCTCAGGCTTGTTTGAATGCTCCCCTTACATCATCTGATCCACAGAACAGCCCATTTTTGACAAGTGCTTCCGCCAACACCTTCCCACCTGTCCAAAATACAGCCTCTAAGGGAGGACAGCCAGTGATGGACAAACCAGCACAGGACAACAAAAACCAGACCAAGTCTGAGCCGGTGGACGGTGGTGAGCAGTCCAAGCAATCACTAACTGGCCAAGCTGCGGGGGACCAGAAGGATTCTAACGCCAACTTGAAAATGCAAAGCCCGACCCGTGATAAGGATGTGTGCAAGACGAGTTTGTCAACTGGTGTCTCAGGGTCAAAGGTCGATGTGCACAACAACGCCAGTAGAGTAAGTGCATCAGAGGAGAAACAGCTGACTGTCCCATCCACTGCACCAACGAGCAGCGACAAACAAGTTCCTCAGAAAGACGACAAGCTAAGGAACACAGCAGCTGAAACACGAGAAGTTAAAGAGAGAACTGCCGCTTCCAGAAACACAGAGACAGCAGCAGCACAGAAAACTGATGATTTAAGCTGTTTAACAGCCTCTGCAACACCTAAACAAAGCTTTGCACCTTTAACTCCCCTTGCCTCCATTAAACCTCCATCCACTAGTGAAGAAACAGAGAGCGAGTCTAAACCTAAAAGTTTGTGTTCATCACATCCAGAGCAGCGTTTTCCACTAGCAGAGGCGTCAGAAGTGTCCTCAGACAAACATCGCCCCACGTCTGTAGAGAGCGATTGTTCTGCTTTGGCCCCGGCTGCACAGAACATGTTGGCGTGTGGGCAGGTGACGGAGGAAACCAGCCAGACTGAGGCAGCTGTCTCTGCAGGAGAGCGGCACTCCGAGCTCCACAGGGACGCTTCAACAATGACCTCCTTCCTGCCATCCTCTCCAGCGAAGCAGCGCCACAGCGTGGAAGTTCAGGCCGTGGCAAACATGTCCAATAAATCTGTGGCCACAAGTCCAAGTCTGCTGCCTTTGGCTGCGGTTCACAGGCCCAGCAGCAGCGCCATTCCCTTGGAGGAGACGCAGCGCCTGGCTGTGATGTTTCAGGCTAACAACAGCCTCGATTGCCATCAGATCTACACGTCTTCTTTTTCCACCAATCAGGTACCAGAGAAACTCGTCGTCAGGACAGAAATGGGCTCCAACCAAAAAGCTGGGTTCATCTCAGAAGCTTTGCCCCAGCAGCTGGACTCCAGGTCAGGAGCCAAGCCTAAAGAAGTTTGTGAGAGATCAGGTGTGTGCAACATTCAGCCAGTTTATCAGATCAGCATCGAGCACAGCAGCCACAGGAAGCACGGGGAGACGAGTGCCTCCCTTCACGAAACTGGAGCTGAAACATCTTTAGCACAAACATCTTTCCCTCTTGGAGTATCTACATCTCCAGGGACAGCTGCTGCCTGTGCAGACAGAGACGATGCTACAACGTCTCCGGCTGCGGTTACAACCGAAGCTGAGCAGGCCCCACTAACGACGACAACGTCAGCTGAAAATAAAGAGTCAGTGAAGGAGGCAAAGTCCAGCAAACAGGATGCAGAACCTGAGAGAAACGACGAGGACTACGACCAGTCAGGGAAGCAGAAAGAAAAAAGCATCCACGACGTCGTTTGGGATGAACAGGGGATGACTTGGGAGGTGTACGGGGCTTCTGTGGACCCAGAATCCCTGGGGTTTGCCATTCAGAGCCACTTGCAGTGTAAAATTAGGGAGCAAGAGAAAAAACTGATGGCCCAGGCATCGTTCAGAAAGTCCTTCTCTGGCGGTGATTCGCCGCAACACGATAAGAAGAACAAAAGGAGGCAGCAGAACGTTTTCAGGTCAATGCTGCAGAACGTCAGACGACCCAACTGCTGCGTACGTCCCCCTCCCTCCTCGGTCCTCGAGTAGCCCTGCAGACAGGAAGCTGATGAGAGACTTCTCTGTTTGCTTAGAGGTCACAATGTTTGTCCTCACACCGTCATGACTGATGAGTGAAATATTAATGAGATCCCTTACTGGAACACGGGAGCATGAAGAGACTCGATGTTTGTGCTGTTTGTGAGTAAAAAAATGTAGGACGTAGAAACGTACAACATTATGACCTATTTTCTAGAAATAGATGTTATAAGAGAACAGTTTTTTAACAATAGGCAATAATAGTAAAACAAAAAACAGAAAAACACGTATGTGCAGTTTCAAATGCAGCTGTGCAAATTAAAGTTAATAAGTTTGTTGTAAAACACACCTATCAGAGGCGAAGCATCTACTGTCACAACATCTGTGCAACCAAGCGAACGTCTTTAGATTTGTGGAACAGAGTTCTCTTTCATGCGTTTGTTCCTTTTGTGTTGTGAAACATACGGGGCTGTATATACACCTAAACGTGCAGTTTGATCTTTGTATTTGGATTTCTATTAAATATGACTAAACAGTTCTGACTCACATTCTTCTTTTCGGACATGAAACCTTTGGCTTGTGTGCAGAATTATAAGAGGATTGAAGTCTTTTTCTGAAAATGAACGGTTGATTAAACTGGGAAATAAATTCACAAGACAGATAAGAGTGATGATTTGTCAGAACAGTCATTTGTGATTGTGACTGAATTGATTTAGATGTTTTTAGCCTTTTTTGTATCTTTAAAAGTCTTCTCTGTGTGATTGCTTGTTGGACTTCAAACTCAATAGTTAAGGTCTGTAGAAAGATTATCAAAAATTTATCTTACTAGCTAAAAATAGCTCTGAATGAACTTAACTTGGGAAAATAAACTTCATATCTGACAAGACTAATGAGCTAAAAGCTACAACGGTAGATTATCATTTATCTTTATAGAGTGCAAGATGATAAAACAACTTAATCTCAGAAACTTCAAATAGTTCATATGTACAGTATTTTATGAAGTTTGACATTGGTGTCAATTTGATATTGCATGTCTGGTTTAGTGGTAACATTTTTATATTTCAGTTGCAAGTGCACCTAGAGCTTGAACTACTGCTATTTGTGCTTATAAAATCATACAACTTAATGTAAAAACTTTTTTATGTAAAACTTATTTAATGCAAAATAAATGTTCATGTTAAGATGTATAAATTATTGTTTGCATGAATCCCTATGAAATATTTGAGATTAAAGTTGTTTTTAGATGGCAGTAAACCACTCTGGTCTTGGCCCTGTTCTGAAAATTAACTGTTAATCCTACAGGTTCACATGCTTTGCAATGCAAGATGGCCGTGCACAGCAGGGCAGCAGCTCATCAAGCTCCCGGGGGAAACCCAGTTATTCTTTTGTTTTGACATGGGCCGAGCCCGACTTCACTCGTTTTAAATGTGTGAACGTCTGCAGTGGAGAGCATCCTGTGCTCCAGCATCAACGTGTGGCATGGAGGCTGCACAGAAGATGTTGGAGTCAGACTCCCCACCATCACAGACATCTACACCTCCAGATGCAGGAAGAGGGCCACCTGCATCATGAAGGACCACACTCACCCAGCACACACACTTTTTGCCCAGATCCCCTCAGGAAGGAGGTTGAGGAGCATTAAGTGTAGAACCACTAGACTGAGGAACAGCTTCTACCCTGAGATGAATCTTTAACCAGGAGAATCAGTGTGATGTCACTTTAACTGGTGACATGTGACTTTGTCTGTGCTGCTGATCTCTTGCCTTTAAGCTGCTGTATTCATGCCCATCTGCTCACTACAGACTCAGGTTCAGGCTGCTTTGTAATGCACTGTATTATATTATATTATTGTTGTTTAGTGTATTAGATCAGTGTATATTGTTTCATTTTATAGTTAATATTTTTGCTATTTTTGGGTGTAACTGGGAGCTTGAGTACATAATTTCGTTCCACCTCATGTACCACATGTGATGCGAATGACAATAAAGAACCTTGAACTTTTACCTCTCACAAATATGTAACATTGGATCATTTTCCTCAATAAATAAATGACCAAGTATAATATATTTGTGTAATTTGATTAACTGGGTTCTCTTTATCTACTATTAGAACTTTTGTGAAAATCTGATGATATTTTGTGTCATATTTTTGCAGAAATATAGAAAATTGTAAAGGCTTCACAAACTTTCAAACACCACGGTACACATGCATCTTCACAAATAAATGAACCAGTAATGTATGTACACCAGTGACAGTGGATAACAGTGTTGTAGCAATACGAAACGGTCTTTTCTGTCAAGTACCCCCCACACACACCCACATTAAGTGCAGTGTGGTTCTGGACTGCTGGTTGTGTTTTAACACAGGTGGGCATACAGCATGAAAAGTATGATACTCTCAATAAGAGCTGGTTTTAAAAGCAGAAATAATCCACAGGGAAACTTGGCTTCAGGTATGTTTTGAGTGATGCAATGAGAAGTGGGGTGAGTCTTTCAAATAAGCAGAAATGAGTTTTAGTAATTTTATTAATTTAGAGTTAAAACTCTCAAAACAGGTTAATGGTCAGGCAAAAACAGATGAAATTCATTAATCCTCAAAGCACCTTAAGGGACCAAACATGTACATTATGCTTATTTGCTATTTTTTATTCTCAATATATTAGTTTAAAGACTAATTTCATTAAACTTGACCAGGATTTTTTTATATATTCTTTTTTAAATTTCACATCCCCCTTTATTGCCAGTCTAGCCTGGCTGGTAGTTTCTCCAGCAGATGGATATAAGGAGAAGCCTGACGGTAGAGGACGTGCTAGCTGCAATTTAATAGTCCTCCAAACAGAGCGAGAAAGATGAGCAAGGTGAGGAGGATGAAGATGTTACAGCAAAGGTTCCTCTGAGGACCAGAAGGGACCAGAGGAGGAATTCCTGCTGAACACAGAGAGCCTTGACAAATATTCCACTTTTCATCTCGTTTTAGGAAATATTGTATATTTTGTGTTTTTCTGATAGAAAAATTATGGGTTTCTGGGAGAAAAATGGTATAAAGGAAAAAAAAAA